ATAAACCCCCCAGCTTGAACTTTGGAGCTTATCCCCTTCGTCAGAACAATACACTGACCCCCGAAACAACTACGACCGTGCAAACCCTACAACCCCCCATCGTGCCCCAAAATAACCAGAATTAAGCAGTTTCGTTGCAGGCCCTTCAAGGCGCCCCAGAAAGTTGCTGAAGGATAACTACTATTTGCTTAAGAGCCCCCAAAAAATAAAAAATATATTCCTTATAGGGATAATATAGGGATTATCATTTTTATTTTTTGGGTGGTTCTTAAGCAAATAATAGATAAGTTAAGGCAATCAATTGTTCCTTGCTGGTATAGTTTGATTAGAATGAGGAACCCTGCGGTATTGATAAGTATTCTTGGTATATACTAAAGGGGCCTTAATAATTAGATTAGGGTTTGGGGGCATAATATACTATAAAAAAGGGCCATCCAAAACAGTATAAGTGATTTTTAAGGCCCCAACACTATTCACCTCCTAGAAACGCTCGAGGTCCAGGGGTCCACACGCGGGTGGTGCGCTGGTGCCATGCAGCGGCCATCTGCCACTTCACGAGGAGCCCCTCCGAAGCAGGAATGTGGAATGGGCCCGTCCGATGTACATATGGGTTTAGGCTTGGTGCTCAGGATTTTGGCCCGAATGGCGTCTGCGTTCAAGATTTTTTGGAGAGTGATTCCGCTTGTCATATGACAACTCGTGTTGGGGCTGTACCGGATATTCTTCTTCTAATCGGCTCTACTATATCGCAGATGAAAACACGGTATTGTAGTACTTTTGACTTTGACTTCGTACTGCACCCCCGTACCCTAAAACCAAAATCCTACACAACACACTCTGGGGCCTCCATCTGCAGACGCCACGCTGCAAAGCAGGGACCCGTGATCCTGGAAGTAGAGTGCCTCCGAGGCGTATGGTATCGTTGGTGCAGGGTTTCAGGCTCAGGGGTTTAATATAGAGGCCTGAGTCCGTACCAAAACTGTTTCTGAGGGTTCCGGTTATATGTATAGTATAAGAGCCCATTCTGACCGGCAAGACTCCTACACTAGAGTTCCATGGTGTGGCATGAACTGTAAATGCCTTCAGGATTTTGGGCTGTCACAAACCGGAACTCTCCTTCAACCCGTCCTAAACCGCAAATCCCTCAACTTGGTGGGTTTGGGGTTGAGGGTCCGGGGTCTAGCATCCTAACCCTAAATCTCAATGCACCATGGACTGGGAACCCTGAGCATTCCGCATACCAGAAATTGACACACACACACACAGCAGCAGCAGCAGCAACAGCAGCAGCAACTATGTATTTCTGTAGCCATCTATCTATCTGTCTACCTACCTGTCTATCGAAATATGTTTATATGTTTTCCTACTACGTGTAATACACTTACACACATGTGCATATGTCTACACATATATACACACATAACACACTACACGTGTGTGTGTACATCTAAGTCTATGTTTGTACTTTGTACAAGCAAACAAGCAACCAAACAAACAAGCATACGCACAAACAAACAAACATACATACAGACATGCAAACATATACGCATACATACGTACATACATACATTTGTATGTGTACGTATGTATGTATGTATGTATATATATGTATATATATATATATATATATATATATAAATATGTATATATATATATATATACATATATTTATATGTGTATATATATAGTATATGATGTATGTATATATGTATATGTTTTGCATGTGCATATGTATATGTTCATATGTGTACATACACGCATGCACGGACATTTAGTGTATACACACACACACAGACCCTATCCCTCCAAGGACCTCATAATTAGGGCACTGAAGGACCCCATAATAAGGTCCCTGGAGGCAAAGGGAGAGATTTCCGAAAATAGGGGACCCTAAAATAGCACCCTAAGCATTAGGAGCCTTATTATAAGGACCCCAAAACAAGGTAACCCGAATATTCGGAAACTCCTAAACCCTAAACCCTTTGTAGAACCCCTATAGATCCCTTTTAGGAACCCTTAAAGGATCCCTTTAAAAGGTACCACTACACAGAGATAACAGCTAAAAGTCAGCACATCCCGGCGCCTCGCAGCACTCCGCCTCGCACTTGCAGAGACATATCTGCCTGAGTGCGGTTGCTTCGCGGCGAATAGAGGGAAGTATGTGTGTGTGTATATATATATATATATATATAATACACATATGCTGTACTAGAAGATGTGACAGCATCCGGGATCATATGCATAGTAGTTTATCGTTGCTTCTGCGGTGATGAATTGTTGATTAAGTGGTGTTTGTAGGTTCTCTTAGCCTCTGATCTGTTTGGGCAGGGTTCAGGTTTATGCAATATTCTTTGGCGGTTGCAGTTGTTGTGCATTCTGTTTCCGGGCTTACAATCTGTAGGGTTCAGCACTGCAGGTTTGAGGGGCTGGGACATCTCCGTTTTGTTACGGACTTCTACGCAAGTTCAGAGCAGCGAGAGAAACGCCTAAAAGGCCTATAGGGCCTTGTGATATCGAACGTGTGCTGAATATGCCTGTAGTGCTCTGTGCGAACGGGGTCATGTACACGGGTTCATATGCACTTTATGGGAGTTTCAGAAAATACGGCACACTAAAATAGTACCCCAAATAGCAGGATCCTTATTATCAGGACCCCACAATAAGGTACCCCCTATTTTTCGGAAACCCCTCATATGCTATCCCTAAACGGCTTGCATACATTGGCTGCCGGGGGCGGATTTGAGTGAGATTTTGGAGTGTGGGGCAAGGCAAAGGGATTTCAGGGGCGTTTTCATGGACTGCCTCTAGTCAAAACAGGTACGAGTTTCCGAAAATTAGGTACCTCACTCGGGGTTCTTACAATAAGGATCCTACTATTCAGGGTACTATATTAGGGTCCCCTCGGAAAGTCCCATATCTATACCATGGAGTGCGAATAATGGTGGTTACGTCTTCCATCAGCTCCGAGAACCTCCAAACCCTAGCAGATCAACCCTGAGCCCTGAGCCCTGCACCCTATCCCTCCAAGGACCTCATAGTTATGGCCCTAGACCCCTTAAGGACCCGGTCTCTGGAGTCATAGGATGTAGATTCACCGGTATCGTACTCGGGATCCCGATGAAGCGACGTGCGTAAATACGACCGCATCATCATCGTAAGCTTTTATAAAGGAAGACTGCTGCCCCTTGCGTGAAGCGCCATGCTGGGGGTCGTGCCAGCTGGATTACTGACCGCCTGGTCCGCGCAGGCAGTATGGGGCATAGGCTTGCGAAATAGGATGCCGCTTTGGGGTATGCGTTTAAAAATTACAGTGCAGGATGTTTCCTTTGCAGATTAGCGGTCGGGGTTTCAAGTCATAAGCCGTTTGCAAGAGCCTGGTCACTTGGCATATGTGACATACCATGTATGTACTGTATGTATAGCTAGCATGAATGCATTTCTGGTTCTGCTTGGTTATCTACACTTGTGCGATGCGTAACCCAGTATGTTGCCAAGCCGTTGTTGAAGTTGGGTCCGCACGGAGCAGTTGAACTGCTTCGCATGGGACATCACGGCCCAAAGATGCAAGCTCCCGCTTCCGAGGCACAGTGAGATTTCCGGAGATCTATGTAGAGTCTGGGATTTAAAGGTTTAGGCTTTTAGGTGTTTGGGGGTTAAGGGTTTGGGGGCTTAGCGATTTAGAGTTTAAGGTTTTTGCGTGGATGTTACCACGGCCTCTGCTGCCAAACTCTTTGAACATCAAGGATCAGAGAGCAGAGCAGCCGGGCAACTCTCATCAACAAAATCGGACACACACACAGACACACACGCTCACACACACACACACACACACACACACACACACACACACACACACGCACACATCTCTTGAAACCCCAAACTTTACCTGAACGCTGACAAACTACATTTGACAATGTATTCAGACGTGTGTATGTGTGTTTGAAAGGGTAGGATTTCCGGTGTCAGGGCGATCCCTGAAAGCTTTACATGTTGGTTGTTGTATGGAATGCCCAGGTTGTTGGAAAACATCCGTGACCATCGCGACTGCTCCAAACCCGAATAGGCCAAACCCCTAAACCCCAAGCCCTAAGTCCTACACGCCTTAAACTAGACCCAAGAGTAACCTAGGAATAAACAGGGTGCCCTTTTTGGTTTAAAGGGGCTTATAAGGGAACCTGAACCCCAAAAAAGGGAATAAGGGCCTACTCTGGGTCCTAGCCAAGCCCTAAGTCCTACACGCCTTAAACTTCCCCCAAACCCCAAATCCTTAAACCCCTGAGCCCCGAACTAATCCTACACCGTACGATTAGTCCCCGAAAGCCGCAAACCCTACATGTAAGCCCGAAAAACCCTAAAAGCCTAAAGTCTTAAAGCCCTAAACCCTAAAAGCCTGAATTCTTCAAGCCCGTAACTCTTAAAGCCCTAAACCCTAAACCGCGTGCCTGATGCCAGTGACGGAACATCGTGGACCCCAGGCCTTCAGGTCGGAGGCGTCAGAATCGAAGCTTCGAACACTCAGAGTGCAAGTACCCCAAGCAGCTTAGGGTTTAGGGCTTTGGGCTTAAGGTTTAGGGTTTCGGGTTTAGGGCTTAGGGCTTAGGGCTTAAGGTTTAGGGTTTCGGGTTTATAGGGCTTAGGGTTTATAGGGCTTAGGGTTCATAGGGCTTAGGGTTTAGGAACCTTTTGGGCCCAAAGATCCCAACTACTGCGCTCTGAGATGGTTTTTGGTATCTAAAGCCCTGGTATTTGGCGTTTGGACCCTCTGGGGTTAAGGGTTCAGGGCTTCAGATAAAGGATCTTAACTTGAAGCTCTAAGTCGAACAGGAATACTGGGGCTGGATCCTTAGATTTGAGTTTGTTCTGGGGGAATATTAACCCCTGCATCCTAAACTCTCTCATGTTTGCGGCATACCTTTACGAATTGTGGGTCCCTATACTAGCCCTAATGGGCAGATAAGTCCTTCTAGAAACCCTGTTGGATTTTCTCAACAAAGCTTTGACATCATCATCATCATGGTAATAAGTACTCTGTTTGAACTTAGTAATTGCATTTTTTCAATACACACAAACGCTGTAAGACGTTTGGTCCCGGTGTGATCGATTCTCCAGCTTTCGGCTGAGAGCTTAGGGTTCTCTGACAGTAAGGGTCCAGGTACTCATATAGTATATACTTAGGCCTTCAAGTAGTCTCTATATATAGGTACTTTAGAGTCAAAGTATACTCGTATCGCATAATATGGATACATGGACCCTTAGGGTAAGGACTCGTTATAAGCATTTCATAGGGTTTAGGGTTTAGGGTTCTATAGGAGGCCCTGTCAGGGTAACTAACCTATCAGAAGTTTGACGCTGTAGGTGTCACAGGCTTTTAGCTTCATGCCCTGGGGGGTTGAGTTGCACTACTTGGACCCATACTTGGAGGGTCGGGGGACTTAGTAAGTAGGTAGTAAGTAGACTTATAAGTACCCTAAAAGGGACCCTAATTGGGGTTATGGTACTTATAAGTCCCTAAAATAACCAGTTACTAAGTCCCCCGACCCTCCAAGTAAGGGCTAATTGCCATACGGGGTCTTTTCATGTCATTGCAGACGACGGACTTGGGGTTTCAGGATTAAGGATCTGGGGCTCTTGCCAGGTCGGCTCCCTCTAGAGAGTTGGGTGTGCCGGGACCGCGCAAGGTAGAAGGGTTTAGGGCTTATATGGTTTAGGCGTTTAGGCGGTTTAGGGTTTGGAGTCCGGAGCCATATTAGTAATACGGATTGTAATACCGGTAGATGGAGGGGGATACCGCGGATTATAGTAGGCGAAACATACCCAGGCTCAGCTGTGCAGGACCGAAGAGTCTACCCTACCAGCAAGCGGAGACCTCGCACAAAACAACCCCCCTAACAAAAGCTAGACGCTGCGGGTTTGGGATTTAGGGTTTCAGGTCCTAACCGTATAAACCCGACAAGGGGATATCAGTGGTGCAGCCATGGGGCGTCGATGCCGAAACCTGGACCGCGCGGAGGTTTTTGTTCGAGGGGAGGCTTGGCCTTTCCGGCTTGTGAATTGTTTGTGTAAAAACGAAAATTGTGTTTTACAAAAAAAATTCACAAGCACCCTTTTTTGTTTTTATAAAAACAGTTTTGCTTGGCGGTGTTTCTGTTCCTGGCGTGCGGGCATTGGCATGCATGGGCTCGGCACACGTCCCGTTTCATGAGGCACGAGCTTGATGGCTGGTTTCCAAGGTCGCAGCTTTCAGTCTTTAATATCAACTGCAGAAGTAATGTTTCGACTTCCTCCGACGTCACCAATGGCACCCTCGCCTAGGTCTGGTGTGCATTCTGTGAAAGCGGAGCTCGTAGACGAGCAATTTTAGTGTTCATATGACGGGCTTGGAGGATTCACATGTTGCAGAGCAGTTCCTCTGGATGGCTGACATTTAGGGTTTAGGGTGCAGGCAGTGATGGCTGACATCAGCATGTGCATGGTCGCAGAGAAAACTCGGGGCTTGGCGGTGGGAGTTTCAGCCCATCTGCCAACATCGAGCTCGCATGACGGGTTTGGAATGGAGTCGTCGTATCGGTTCTGACATCAACAACAACTAGTAGATCGACCCCAAACCCCAAACCCTAAACGAAAACCCTATAAACCCTAAACCCTATATAAACCCTAATGACCTAATGTTTCTGTGTAGGTGAGCAAGGCATGAGGATCGTCGGAAAATGCATGTGTCTACAGCATGGAAAGACAGTGACAGCTCGTGGCATGTGGGTAGAAGGATTTGTGCCCGGGGGCATTATTGGACTCAACACGGCCTAACAGCGTGCCCTCAATCCTGAACAACATGACGACTGAGTTCATTGCCATTGGGACAGCCGTTGTAGCTGCAGGTCGTGGCACAGCTGCAGTTGCATGTACGCGGCCGTATCCTGATTGAGACTTGTTGTGGCCGGCTTCGAAGCTAGAAAACGTGTCGTGTGGCTTTCGGGATGGCTTTCGGGGTTATGTTCCAGGCTCCTGCTTGGCATCGGATACGAGGCTCAAGCGCTGGCGAAAGTAGCGAGGTAGAACTGACCCGTACTTGCACCAAAACTGACACACACACACACACCAAATAAAACGACGCGCACGTATGATCTTACAATATCGCTCTGACCGGTTCACGTAAGAGAAATGCCATCCCAGTAAGGGATTTCGAAGAGTCCCATGCAAGTAGATGCGCTGTTTGTTAAGGTGCACAGTCACGGCACGTATGACAAAGCCTTACGAATTACCAAAGATCAAAGGGCCCCTTAACCGCTCCTTAACCCCTAGCGTTGAGCCTCCCTGCACGAATACATGCAGCAAGGAAGACATGATGCAACATGCACCCGGGCATTTTGGTTTCCACCCTTATAGCCCATAACACAACCTAGCACAAAACCTTCTAACTGAAGCTAACCCTGAACCATATGAGAGCCTTAACATATGACCTAAACCCTACACCCCAAACCCCTAACCAGGGTTTCATTATCGGGTCTAGGACCCACAACCGATACCATACCTCTCCGAGCAGAACTCCCAAAGACCCCGGGCACACCACAGCCGCCCGGGGTTAGGGTTTAGGGTTTACTTGGAGGCCCTGTTGACTTAGTAAGTCTACTTAGTATCCCCTAGAAACCCTATTATAATCCCCATAACCCACCTTACTAACCCTACTTACTAAGTCAAAAGGGCCTCCAAGTAGGGTTTAGGACCTTAGCCACAAAAGCCCTATTTAAAGACCTAACACCCGAATCCCAAACAACTTATACCCCAATCCGCAAGCACAAACAAAACCCCAAGGGTCCAAAGGACTCAAGGACCCAATAGTTAGGTACTCGGGTTTAGGATAGTAGTTATGTAGGTTAGGATTTTGGAGAGTATATGATTATTGGATACTTGGACCCATGGGGAAACCCCCCAACCCTCAATCTAACTACCAACGGCCCTAAATTCCCTAAACCCTAAACTCTACAGCTGCAGCCTGAGCCATTCGACTCTCCGCCGTCCGACGCGCGCTCTGGGCGCTGGCATAGGCCCAAGCAGGGAAGATCCGCCCCAGCCTTCTGTTAGGCTTGAGGGTTTAGGGTGTATACAGTATACAGAGGCTTAAGATCTGGGGTTTAGGATCGCATAAGAAAGGTGCCCTAACAGCTAGACTAATTCGGGCGCTAAAGAGGGACTGCGCGGGTACTACAGGTTTTTGTCAAACCGTCTGGTTTTATGGTGTTGCCAGGCGTCCGCAAAGTTCATGGGGTTTTCAGCGCTCTGTAGGCGTTCGTAGATTTCTGCAGAGTTTCATGTGTTGTGTGGCGGCTGTAGTGTACAGTTTCACGGAATGTTGAGCTGGGCGGGGGGATGATGCAGATACCGCTAATTTATTGATCCCTATTTTGGGTTATGTAATGTATACGCTCTTGAAAACTAACTAGACTTAGGGGTGCCATACTGAGGGCCTTCTGCTATGAAGGATCCTGCGAGTTGAGGTCCCATATACTTGAGATTAACCTGATGCGGCTGGCTCTTGGAGTGTAAAAGATGTCGTGTTGGTGCTGGGGCACGCTCCAGCGCAAGACAGGCTTGTTCGGCGTCTCGGTCATTTACAGGGCGCCCTGGAGGCATTAGTGGGGAGGGAGGTCGGGCTGGGTCTCAAATCAGGCACACTCACATGAAACCCTCGCACAACTAGCAACCCTCAAGAAAGTGCCAATCGAGCCTATAATCAGAAGAGCTTGCAAAAACGAAAGAAAAGCCAGCCAAATGACCCGCAAAGAAGCTCCGTGAATGTCACAGGACTTCAAGACTAGACAACCTCTGTTCGAAAGCAGCCCGAAACCCAAACCAGCTTACTAGAATTACCGAAAGAGCCGGAAACCTACAAACCCTCCTCAAACCCTAAACCCTGAACACAAAACCCGTCTGAAGCCCTAAACCCTGCGGCCCCTCTCCTAAATACCCTCAGCAGCAGCAGAGCTCGGGAATGGGCAGAGCCGGCCGCGCCAATCCAAAAGTTGCTGTTTCTTGGGCAGCCTCGTGTTTCGATCGGCTTCTTTGGTTGAGGGCTCGGGGTTGAGGGTTTAAGATGCTCCTAGAGAGGCCAATGTCATGTGCCTTCAAAACCGGGATGGGGCCCTAAAACATTGAGACAGAAACCCTGAAACCAAAAACCCTAAACCGTTTTACCTTGTTTTAAAGTAGCCTAGTTGCTCGAGGAGGTAAGTAAAGAGTTTCGGGTTTGATACCTTCAGGGTTTGTTGCTTACAACGCTGAGAGATTCGGATGGTTCTTGGAGTCTTGGAACCGTATGGTCTCAAGGATTTTGGCTTACAGTAGAAACCAGAAAGTTGGAATATGATTGTCCTAAACCCTTTATGGTAAATTATAGGGTATCCTACCATTAATCCATATTCCAACTTTCTAGAGTTCCCTTTAATGATTGGAAGTCCCGGGTCACGGCTGCCTCCACTAGACCTAAGAGTAACTTAGGCATAAAAAGGGTGCCCTTTTTGGTTTAAAGGGTGTTATAAGGGAACCTAAACCCTAAAAAAGGGAATAAGGGCCTACTCTGGGTCCTAGTCCATGAACTTCTGAGCTTTCTGGGTGATCTGCTCAGCCGTCATGGGCGCACCACGCTGGGACAACGGATTCCAAGCTTTCGGGTGCTTGGAGTCCTTCTGGTTCGACTGGAACTCATACTGAATCGTTCCATGAATCGTTCCATGATCCGCAGACAGCATCTCCTGCGGGCTCCAGTGCAACTCCCTGAGCACCGTCTGCAACGATGAAGTAAGCTTGACCCGCCTCATGGCCAGGATCTCACCGGGAGGCCGCGAAGGCTGATGAAATATACATTCGCAGCGTAGGATTTCTGCTCGAGCGTGAGGCGGCATTCAGTGAGGGCTGTGTTGGGTTTTGTGGTTGGGGAGTTTCGGTTTGGTTTAGGGGTCTCATTTTCGAACCTCCACAAGCACCTGCATGGCAACCTCACGACCTTTGCCCTGTAATGTCGGGTCCTGCAGACAGCTGAACCCCTTGAAAAGATGAAGAAACAACCCTGGAGAAACTTATGGGTAGTTCTCCAAATTAGGGGTCCCTTTTGAGAAACCCCCCCAAAAAAGGCGGCACCTAAAACGGACCCAACACGGCACTGCCCATATGTAAAGCCCTAAACCCTAAACCCTAAACCCTAAACCCAACTTCAGGTCCCAGGTCCATGTTGATGACAGCCTCAAAAGCTTAGCGTACAAACCCTGCGCAAACGAAACAAAACACTGATAAACCCAACCCTCCATAAGGACTATCCCTAAACCCTAAAACCTAAACCCTAAACCCAAAACCCTAAACCCTAAACCGTTATATAATATAATCGAGATCCCTACACTCGAAACCAAAAACCTATAAACCCAGCCCCGACATCCTGACATCCTGGACCGCCCCTGAACAACTTCTTCCCTAAACCCTACCTGGACCCTATAAAACCTACCTTTGCAGGGCTGCTCACCATGATTTTCATGTATGAACCCTGAAAAAAGGATATAGAATATACATATATCTGTATGAAAAAAATCTATATATATATATATATATACATATGTATATATGTGTATACATATCTGTATATGTGTATAGATAGTTTAATATAGTTTTTAAGCTTCAGAGACGTCTCCTGTACATCAACAACAGAGCCCTCGCAAGCTCCAAAGCGTCGGAGCGTTTCGGTAGCTCGAAGGGTCCAAGTAACCAATAATCATATAGGGTTTAGGGTTATAGCGGTTTAGGGGTTTATGGAAATGCTAACCTACATAACTACTATCCTAAAACACCAAGTACCCTACTATTTAGTCCTTTGGACCCTGGGGTAAATGCTGAAGCCCAAACCCTCTGCGGAGCCTGTGAAACGCCTCTTGTCGAAGCAATCTCTTTGCCTGAACTTCAGGCTTCAAGGGGATTTCGCATTTAGGGGGTTAGGGGCTTCGTGTTCGGAGTTCGAGGTTTAAGGTTTACAAAGCATCTATGGCGTTTGGGCGCCGTGTGTGGTTTGGGGTTTGGGGTTTTACAGGGTTTGCGGAATGTAGGACACTGCATTTGAGGTTAACAGTTTTCGGTGCGGGGGTTTTGGATTGGGGCTTACCTTGAAGTATCGAAACCTCCTCTTAGGGTCAGTCTAGATTCTTATCAGGGTTCAAAATAGGAAACGCTCGGAAAGGTAGGTTATATGGTAGTTTACGGCTTTGATGACGCGTGTTCTTAGCGAGGTGTTGCGTGTCTCGTGGGACAAGAGGCGCGGCAGGCGTAATTTTACGGTGTCAAAAGGGTTAGGTTTTAACGAAACACTTCTAAACTCCAAACCCTCACTGCAGAACCCTGAAAACTAACAACCTTAAACTAACCCCTGCAAAACCGTATAACCCTTGATGTAACCCTTGTACTGGCCATTTTTGAAACCCATCATGAAAAGAACCCGCATAGTAGCCAATATAGAAACCCATACGGGCAGCCTCACCCCTATGAATCCCAAATTAAGGGTCATGGGACTTAGTAACTAGGGTTATTATTAAGGTAACTATACTTATAACTACTTATAACCCCAATTAAGGGTTCCTTTGAAAGCTCCTTTAGGGCTTGGTTTCCTTTAAATGTTTCCAAAAGGGCTCCTTTAAACTTGGTTCTGGTTAAACACCTTAATTGCATACCAAAAGAGGGATTACAGCAAATGGAAACATAGTTAATCATTCCTCAACCCTAAACCCCAAACCCGAGAACAAACCTGAGGGTTTCCACCCGCTGAAAACCCTAAACCCAAAACCCTACATCCTAAACCCTATAATTCCTAAATCCTAAATCCCCTAAACCCCAAACCCCAGAAGAAACCTGAGAGCTTCCACCTGCTTCAAAGGCCCCGGAGAGCTCCCTGCGCCGACTCGGACGGCAGTGCTCCGACCTCGGTGGATCCCGGCTGCCCCACAAGGGTTCCAAGTAGTATTTATAGAAATTATACAGTGATTATAGATTATAGCTTATAGTAAGTATCATTATAGTAACTACAGCAACTATAGACTATAGCTTATCGTAAATACCATTATAGTAACTACACGCAATGGGTTCTAGGCACTGTTAGGGGGGATACTCCCCCAAATCATAATAGTAATTCCTGATATAGAAACCCTACATTCTACTATAAAGGTACTTTGGACCCTTTGGGACAGAAATTGTAGCTATAGCTATAGTACTTAGAGTCATCATAGGAGTCTCAGTCTGTTGTAGGCGCTTTGGGACTTCGTTATCGTACTTAGAGTCAGCATAGTAGTTATAGTCTGTAGTAGGTACTTAGTAGGTATATGGCCTCAAGAGTATATACTATGCTATTACTTGGACCCTTTCAGTTCTAGGATGGGTTCGAGGCCACCCGGCTTGGAGCTTCCATGAGCCCTGATGTATGTATATATACTTCTACAGAAAATAACACACCTCTCTTTTAATATATATATATATATACATATACATATACACATACATACATATGTGTGTACATATATATATGCATACACACACAGATATACACATATATTTCTATATATATATGTATGTATGTATGTATGTGTGTGTATATATATATACACACACGTAGGCATACATACATGCATACATACATACATACGGTTACATACATATCTACATGCGTACATATGAGTACAACATGATCTCCGTTCGATTGCCCGTTAAACCGCGGAAATTTGGCACTGTCAGCAGGGCGGCGAGGCGGCAGGAAGGATGCATTGACGAGACGTGCCCTTCTTAGTGCCGCCTGTGGTTTGAGGAGTCTTGTTGGGGCTTCGTGGGTTCAGGTTTCTAGGGTTCGGGCGCAGGACTGTGGACTGTGGGCAGAAGGCCCACATCACTCAGAACGGCTCAACGCTGAAACGCCAAAAAGTAGGGAGCACCGTCTGTTTGCAGCGCTCAGGCGTGGGGCAAAATCTGTTCAGGGTGCACTCGTTCCGGAATGGGGACAGCGTGCTTGGGCTTGTACATGTACCAGTAGATCGTCGAGATCAGGTGCGTCTGTGGGGCAAAGCTGCTCTTACTACTACTACGTCGTTCACACGAATGAGTTATACAAGCTCTTCTGCAGCTTTGCAGCGATGACGTCTTCGTGACGAACATGCTTCTAGTTCATGCAGGACGTCCGTTTTCTCGCATGCTGTGCCAGGTCATTACAGTAGCAGACAACGGCGCAGGGATTCAGAAACCGCAGGAAGATGTCCACATGTCACCCTATAAGCCCTATCTCAACCCTAAAAACTGAGTTAAAAACGACATGAGTTGTGGTTCACCGTCACTCCTGGCCTGGTGCTCATAGGCACAGAACGCATCCCCCCTCGGTAGCAGCAAGCTCGGATCGATCTCGAGTAGACCCTAGGTTAACGACCCGAAATGCGAGTGAAACATGTGTGACACTATCCCTCCGTGCTTCCTTCTCCCTTATCGGCACCATGCTCGACCAGCAAGCGCAGCACATCAAGTCGACGTCTTATTGTTGCGACGCAGAGAGGCGTCTCACCATCGTTCATCGCCTTGTCCTTGTCGGCACCCTTCTCGATCAGCAGGCGCACCACACCAACATGACCGTTTTGACTTGCAATGTAGAGAGGTGTCGCACCATTATTCATTGCTCTGTCCTTGTCGGCACCTGCCTCAAGCAGCATACGCACAACATCGACGTGACCATACGCACTGGCAACAAAGATAGGTGTCCCACCATCGTGCCTTGCTGCATCCTTGTCGGCACCCCACTCGACCAGCAGGCGCACTACATCAACGTGACCGTTCTGACTTGCGATGAAAACAGGCGTTGCACCATCGTCCCTCGGCGCGTCTTTGTCAGCACCTTTCTCAATCAGCAGACACACCGCGCCCAGGTGACCATTCTGACTTGCGATGTAGACAGGTGTTGCACCATCACTTTTTGGTGCGTCCTTGTCGGCACCGCTCTCTATCAGCAGGCACACCACATTGACATGACCATTCTGACTTGCGATGAAAAGAGGCGTCGAACCGGCATTGTTTGGTTTTTCCTTGTCCACACCCTTCTCAATCAGCAAGCGCACAGTTTCGAGGTGACCTCTATAAGCTGCGACCATGACAGGTGTCGCACCATTGTTCGCCGCGACGTCCTTGTCGGCATCCTCCTCAATTAGAAAGCGCACCACATCAAAATGACCATTGCACGCTGCAGTGAAGAGGGCAGTAGAGTTGTTCCGTCCACAGGGCTTGTTGAGGTTCGCACTCGCGCTTGCGAGCAGCTTCACACTCTCCAGAGCCCCAGTACTGGCAGCCGCCATCAATGCTGTCCGACCATGCGAATCTACCGCATTTGGGTCTTGGGGGCGCCGGAGCAAGGCCTCAACTGCAGCAGCGTCGTTTGCTTGACTAGCTTTGGCAAGCAGCGCAACGTCACCTGCCTCAGACTCGACAAAGTCACAAACGGTGACCTGCAACTCGAGCGGAAGCTTGAAGGTGGCATCTAGCTTAAGCACGGTGTCTCCACTGAGGAGCTTCAGTCGAAAGCGTGGCTGGCCGACAAGCGGGGACAAAAGCTGCTCAAGACCCCGGATGATGCCATGGCCATCGGCCAAGGCAGCGACCTCCGCTTCAGTCGCTGTCACCAGCTCCCGCCCAGAAAGATATCGAATCGAAAGCATGGCAACGAATTCAGACTAAGGAGCCTTCGCTGGTTCATGCCAGAAGGGATATGGAACATAGGGGTACCTTATGTTGGGGTCCTTATAGTAAGGATCCTACTATTTAGCGTAATATATTAAGGTCCCCTATTTTCGGAAACTCCCATATATGAGTTACATAACGGTTACCACAAGATCTATAGGGGTACTATGGGGCCTATGGGGTTTGAGGTTCAGGGTGGAGACATGAACCTGATGCCGACCAGACCCCCTTTCTTGATGGGACACCGTGCATTCAAATCTCGACATCCACAACCTCTGAGTTTAGGGTCCCTAAACCCTCTAAACCTCAACATTCGCACTGTGCCTATCCCGGCAAACAGCCTAACTACGGGGTTGTTAGGGCTTATAGGATTTGGAATTTAGGCATGATGGACACACGCCGGCAATTGAAATCACAAGTCACAAAGCTCTTCATCTCCCCCGCCCAGAAGAATGTGCAGCATGCTACCTATGCACTAGTTCGGCTATCATGAACCCATACGGGACTATCCGAAACTAGGGGACCCTAATAGAGTACCCCCAAATAGTAGGATCCTTCTGATAAGGACCCTAAAGTAAGGTATCCCTAATTTTCGGAAACTCCCATATACGAAAATCCCGAACATCTTACCTATAGTCTCCATTGTAGTTCCTTTTTTGGCTTAACCAACTCTATATTGAGGATCCTAAAAGGTAACCCCAAAAAGGAACTACAACGGAGACTATAGGTAGACTCTTGTTCGTGACCGACCTGACGCGCAAACTTTCCCAGTGCCGAAGCCGCGATCCCAAAATCCTTAAGCCAGAATCCCCGAAGCCTAACATGGGAGGGGGTACCTTTAAAGGGATCCTTTCAGGGTTCCTTAAAGGGATCTATAGGGGTTCCATAAAGGGTTTAGGGTTTAGGAGTTTCCGAAAATTAGGGGTACCTTACTTTGGGGTCCTTATAATAAGGATCCTACTACTTAGGGTACTACAGTCCCTATTTTCGGCAACTCCCACAAGGCAGTTGCCAGCGATAGCTGGTTAACCAGTGTTATGGTGAGGATCCTATATAGGTTTTGGTTAACCAAAGAAGGAAACTACAATGGAGACTATAGGTAAAATGGCTGCACGGGGTTACCTCGTTTTGGGGGTCCTTATAACAAGGATCCTAGACTACTTAGGGTACTATACTAGGGTCCCTCATTTTCGGAAGCTCCCAAATGGCTGCGCCAAGCCGAAAGTCCTCTCAAACCCGAGAACCCGAAACTCTTCACCCTGTATAATAGTAAACCCCATAAAGTTGGAAACCGGATTAAGGCCAAATAGTGCTGGGATTCCCTATAAATTGCTCTTAAGGATCGAGGCTATCGGGTTTCCAACTTTTGGGCTTCTACTTTACATCGTGAGCCAAGTACCCTCAATTTCTCCCCATTCAGCAAGATCAAGGCCATGCATGAAGCGAAGAGAAGAGGAGTACCAGCCGGAAAGCAGCCTGCCGTGGTGTGGTAAAGACAGAGAGACAGAAAGAGAAAGAGAGAGACAGAGAAAGAGAGAGAGAGAGAGAGAGAGCGAGGGAGCGAGGGAGCGAGGGAGCGAGGGAGGGAGGGAGAGAGAGAGAGAGAGAGAGAGACAGGGCGGGTTGAGGGATCTCGGAATCTCAGAACTTAGGGCTGTGGCCTTTCATGAAGTTCATACAGTAGAGCTTCACTGGTGCGGGGGGGGCAGGTGCTCTCTGGGCCTCTAACCCTCGCCTCGGAAGTACTCCTACTTGTCGGGTATCATGGGGAACCAAAGGTAAACCTTTTTGGGTATATAGGGATTCTATAGGGACTATACTACCCAACAAAAGCTAAAGGTTACCTACTCTACTACAGGGTATTGCTGATGTGCTGCTTTCGGATGTCTTGGGCAGGCATGGCATGCAGCATGCTGCTTCAATCATACAAGACATAGCAACCCCTGAGTCGCCAGAGGAAACCTGGGTCTATGAAATGGAAGCTCTCCATAAATAACTGGGCAGCAGAAAGCAACAGAACAGAGTAGCGTCAGCGAATGTCAGCTAGAGAGGACATGCCGCGCCATCAACGCAGGCTCAAAGGACTGAGTGCTGCTGGACGATATACTGATGATGGTGATGGTGATACATGTATATGTATATATCTATATACATATCCGAAAACAGGGGGCCCTAATATAGTACCCTCAATAGTAGGATCCTTATTATAAGGACCCCTAAATAAGATACCCCTAATTTTCTGAAACTCCCATATGCTTGCGACATCTACGTGCCTCAGGATACCGCTCACTCCGTGCACACGCTCTGCATGCAACAGCCTGTCTGCCTGTCAATAACAGGGAGGAAAATGAACAAAACCCGTCCGTGCGGGGATACTGCAAGGTAACTGTCCATTGTAGAATGAAGCTTGCTGAACGCCGGATTCAGTCAAGGGTGTTGGCTAGGGTTAAGATTCCTTGTTTCCGGGTGGGCAACCCTGAGCCAAAGGTTTAGGATGCTTGTTTGAGGGACTGGGGCTTATGTGTATAGATATCCATAAATATATATATATATACACATATATATATATATATATATATATATACATATATATATATATATATATATATGTGTGTCTCTCTCTCTCTCTCTCTCTCTATATATTTATATACACACATGTATACACGTGTGGACATCCATCAATCCCTCTACCTGTAAATCTCTGTCGGCAATTCACGATGCTTGCCTCGCCGCGGCTGACGAGGCCTCTGATGGATGCACGCCTAGACAGGGCTTCAACCGTGCGCACGATATTGGGTTTAGGATGATGATTCAATCTTGGTTCAATGTGAGGGTCCAAGTGAGCAGAATAGGGCTTGGGAGCACGCTGCACTGAAGCTTATAGAAGCTATGGTCACTAGTAGATTTTGATCGAGTCTCTAGTCACCCAAAAGCCTAAACCCTATAACCCTAAACCCTACAACTCCTGTGGAATGCATGATGGTCCTGGAATCTCCTTTCAAGCCCTTTAGAGCCCGACCTTTCGATTCGGAGACCCGCCCATGTGCTACATGATTTTGTCTCTAACCCTTCTATCGAAAGACGCGGGGACCGAAATGGGCAGGTAGTTCTCCACACCCCGAGCACAAAAGCCTAAAATCCGTGCTTCCCGTAATTTGTTAAAAGGCTGAGGGTTCTTTGCCCTCCGTAGGTGTCTGTGTTGACAGTTTCATTGCCCTAAACCCTAAACCCTTGACCCTAAACCCGCAGCAGGTTTTGGGGGCCCGGTATCAAACAGAAAAAAGGCGACGAGTCGACGAGAGTTGGGAGCTTCCAAGATTGAGACTGGTTGAGTGTTTAGAGTTTGGGGTTGGCGCATGGCAGACAACTAGGAGCAAGCGGATGGTCTCCCGTTGGCATCGCACAATGATGTGCCTGGGAGACCAATCAACAACACGAAAATCAGAGAGCGCAGCCCTGATGGGTGTGTTTCCTGCCATGCGTAGGGGTGCTGCCTCGAAACCCAAAGCTCAACTCCGTAGTTGCCAGCGGAATCAGCAGCGGAGGCAGAACGGAAATGTGTCTGTGATGTAACGGTGGCTGTTCTCTTGGAACGGGACTCCTGGACGCCGACGAAGACAGCAGCAAGGGAGTGCAGTTGCTCCCGAATGTAGTGCGTGCGTCCTGGCAGACCCTGGCTTTCATCCTCTTCAAGTGTCTGAACATTGATAGTGACAAGCCGCAGGGTCAAACAAACTCGGTCGCCTGCAGCGTGCAGCTGCTGGAATTTGGCAGGGGCGAAGGCTCAAAAGCTTATAGGGTTTAGGGATTACAGGGTTTAGGGTTTAGGGCTTATTGGGTTTAGGGATTGCAGGTTTTAGGGTTTAGACTTTTAGGGCTTCTAGGGTTTATGATGTAGGGAAGTTTTTCTAGTTAAGGTAGAATTACAATGCTTCTGGTTACTGCTGTCACTATTCCTATGTCGATTCTGATTGCTGTTCCTTCATGAAAGCGATCACTGTTGCTGTAACAGGAACAACAGTTATGACCATTCTTAAGATTTCTGCTTGCAACTACCTGCCCTAAACCCTAAACCCTAAACCCCTTCCTGTAGAGGATGGAACGCATAGCATCTTCCAAGCCTCGCGTGGCGAAGCTCCTGCTCCGCAACAGAAGGCAAGACATGTGAAACAAGCGAATAGGGTAAAAGGAGGGACCCTTAATAAGGACCCCTAGGTATATACCCTTAATATAGCTATTATATACCCAATATATAGCCCATTATAGGGCAACTACATGCACACACACACACACACACCGACAGTTAAGTTGAGTTTCATGCGAGTACGAGAAGGCTGTAAAGATGCAGATCCACGGGCTTGTTGGAGCTTCGAACCTGAAACTACACTACCAACAATGACTGAATTTATACTTCGAAAACAAGATCGCAGTGGCAGCAGAACGCAACAGCAAGCGCGAAGAACTTGGGTCGAGGAGTTAAGGCGAAGGCTGTTCGATGCAAAGTGGTGCAGGATCTGGTTTCCAGCTGATTCTGTCAGATGTTTGTGGTCCCAGAACCTACTGCCCGGAATTCTTGGGAAACTCATGCATTGAACCCTGAACACTGAAAACCTAAACCCTCAACGGGACCTTTACCACCCCAAGTAAACCCTAAAAACCCTTAAATAGTACTGGAGCCTAAGATTCTGCATCCTAAGTTCTAAACTCCTCACCGACCAAACACCCATCGACAATTCCGGCTTCCTCCCGGGAGACCATGACGGCCGAAAGCTGAGCCGCCGAATCGGCATGTTGCCTTTGAGGTCTTAGAGCTTTAGGATCTGACGGTTTGGGGTTTAGGATCTCAGGCAGTCGGAGTTCATGGCTTGAGGGAAACCAGGGTTTCGGTCCTGAGCTGAAGTTCTGAAGAGAATGTAAGGATTAGAATGTGGTGGTCAGGAGACTTGGTGATGCGCAGCTTAGTTCCGAAGCTTCTGCGTGTCAAATCCAGTGAGATCCTGCCAGGGCCAGGACGGGATGTGAAGACACATCTCTAACCCACTCCTACTTAAAGGATCATGGGACTTAGTACCTAGGGTCATAATTAAGGTAACTATACTTATAACTACTTATAACCCCAATTAAGGTCCTTATAAGCTTACGTACTAAGTCCCATGATCCTCCAAGTACTTAAATCCTGAAGCACTATTCGGAGGCCTTGCGACTGTAGCACCGGTTCTCTGATGAAGCCTTGTGGGGTCTCTCGCAAGCCCTAACCCCTAAACCCCTAAACCCTAAACCCCTAAGCCTAAACCCTAAACCCCTAAACCCTAAACTCCTAAACCCCTAAACCCTAACCCCTAAACCCCTAAACCCCTGTAATCCCTGAACCCTAAACCGGCTCCCTCCAAGATCTGCCTTACGCGCGCAGCACGTAGTGCGACCCAGCTCCAGAGGGAGAAGACATGGCGAGCTGCCCTGGCATGTATGCACTCATGTATGTATATGTATATGTATATGTATATGTATATGTATATGTATAGGTATAGGTATAGGTATAGGTATAGGTATAGGTATAGGTATAGGTATAGGTATAGGTATATGTATATGTATATGTATATGTTCGTATAATCAACTATATATGTACGTAGAAACATGCATATAGCTGCAGCCCTCGAACTGGGGCCGCCTTCTCCATTCGGGATTGGCGAAATGGGGTGCCCGGGGTGCCCTGTTCCTTCTAAGCAGAATCCAAGTGCTGAGTCTCTCACCCTGCACACCTCAGGAAAAAGGATGGATACGGTTGATGATGCAAATCCTGCAGTACCTTAATGAGCCTAATTAAGCCATGGGAATAATGGTATATTCCTTACTATGGGTAATGCAGTATTTACATCATCAACAGTAGGTTCAGGGTTTAGGTATTTTTGGGCTTAGACTCTTAGACTTTGGAACCCCCCAGGCTCCGAGAGAAGCAGTCCATGCACATTTCCAGGTGTTCCGGGTCTCGGGCGAAGAATGCCCCAAAGGCTCCATGTACCTTTATAGTATATAATTTGGCCTTAAAGTAGTTCCTAAAAAGGTACTTTAAGGCCAAAGTATGCACTATATGGGCACATAGAGCCTTAGGGTGCATTGCCATCGCTGTAAACGCCAAACGACACCTTCCGAACGACCGAAAGCACAAACCGGGAGTCCAAGCTCCAGCAAGAAGCCGGTCAAAGTAATAGTATTATTTTTATTAGTATTAGTATTATTATTGGTATTATTATTAGTATTATTATTATTAATATAGTATATGTGGTTGTCAAAGTTAGGGTCCTTTTTTGCGGACCCTAAATCTTAGGTGCCGTACTATACAAGGGACCCAAAAGGGGACCATAATTTTGACAACCACTGAATGTGGCCAGATATCTAGGAAGTATCTACATACTGGTATTTGGACATCAATTTGGGCTTGGGGTCAGCGAGACGGATTGGTGGACGCGCATAACTGGACATAGGGCTAGCACGAAGCAGCACCTAACAGACCCTATGCACCCTAAACTGTAACCCGACGCCTTTCATAATGCGAACGGTCCCAAGCTAAAACCTAAACCGTTAAGCCCCAACAACATGTTAGATCGAGCCAGATTCCCAAAGTAGGAGCCACTCTGCCTTATAATCATGGGGGTTGGGGTTTAGGGATTTCGGGGTTTAGGGTATTTAGGGGTTTAGGGGATTTAGGGGTTTAGGGGATTTGTGGGTTTACCTGTAGTCTCCATTGGAGTTCCTTTTTTTGGTTTAACCAATTTGATATTAAGGATCCTAATTTAAAAGGTAACCCAAAAAGGAACTACAATGGAGAATATAGGTAAGGTTGTACAATAAGAGCCGCCGGCCTCGGTAAACCGTCCTGAGCTGGCAGGTTGAGGAATTATGGTTCAGGTTTTGGATGCAAGAGTTGCGTTTAGGGTTTAGGGGTTTAGGCGTCAGGGTTTACGGTATAAGGTTTAGGGCTTAGGGGTTTAAGGGTCAAGGTTTACGGTTTAAGGCTTAGAGTTTAGGGTTTACGGTTTCAGGTTAAGGTTTTGGATGCTTTGGGATTGCAGGTGATTGTGCATGCCGGATTAGATACTGACTTGGTCAACGTTTGGATTCGGCACGGGCTATGGAAGACACCTCGCTCGCCGCATGACCTCGGCAGGGTTCCTTCATGAACAGCTTTGGGAGCTAATGACAGTTCTCTCTGAACAAGGATATAGCCACGTTCGTTTTATTAGAGAGGCTACAAGAAGAAGCCTTTAAGTGTTCCACAAGGGGGCTAGAGCTCGGGTTTAAGTTTCGAGACGGACTAGGACGTGAGCCGAGGAGCTGCTTTGCCACGGATCATCACATGACTGCCGATGGCGGAGAACTGGCTGTGCTGAACGTGGCGGGATAGCCTCATATCACCCCAAAGCGTCCAAGTACTGGTACAGTATATACTTTGGGGCCCAAATGCCTACCTTGGTGCCTGTACTTTAACTACTATGTATATATGATGGCACCTGCTGATTATAATGGTACTTGAGCCCTTTGGGGACTGGACTCTTTGGTTTTGGTTTAGGAGACAGGAAAGACTCGGAGCGGAAGCCCTGCTGGCCCTAGACCACCGAACTCTTCGCGCGGTTTAGGGTTTAGGGATTAGGTTATTCAGACTTCCTTGCAATCACCGCACCTGGTGCCCCGAACATCCCTGATTCCCAAGTTTAAGCCCAGCCCTAAACCAAGGCACGCCCCACATCGCAAGTCTCTAAATCTCTCCACACCTGAAACCCGAATCACGTAGTATGACAATTGTTATAATACAGTACTACAAAGCAAAACAAAGTGCAAAACAGGAAAGCGCAACGTAGAGCCCCGCACCCAAAAGCTTTGGAAAAAGAAGCCAAAGAGCTGCGCACGGCCACGCCATGCCGAGTAAACAGTTTGCATCAGCAGCTCCGCCCGTAGAGCAAGCACCGTCTTGACCTTTTGAGATTCAAGGTCCCCCTCCCAAACCGTCAGCCCTAAAAGGCCGTCGCTCGGAGGAGTTGAGGCTTCCAAGTTGTGCTTTCAGACATGGCAAACCAAAGGAAGGGTCCTAACTACCTAATGTGAGGACCTTTAACAATCAGAATTGGGTTTTGGGGTACAGTACTGGTAATTACTCCGGCCCAGTATTGATACTTACCCAAAGCTTCGTAATTCCTACTGAAGAAAGCCTACCTTCTACTCTTCAAAGAGGTATTTAGGGCCCATTGGGAAAAGATTCAGAGTTGCACAAGAGTCTCATAGGGATCCTTAGGGGTGTAGGGGACTATATTTCCTTAAATAGGCCTTATTAGTCCTTATTATGGGTCTTAAGGCCCCCTACCCCCCCTCCCCCTACACCCCTAAGGATCCCTATGAGAGTCTGCAGGTGCCTGGCAAAAATCATCGACACCAGAGCTAGAGCCCGACGCCCTGAACCCTGAGCCCCAAAACCTTTGCCCTGAACGGCCCCTTGCGGTAGCTACCCCCAGAGACTCCACTATCCCTTAATTCAGGAATATACCTTAAATTTATAAATTAGGGATAGAGACTCCAATATCACTTAATTGAGGAATATACCATAAGTTATAGTATATAGGATCCCTAATTTATAAACTTAAGGTATATATTCCTGAATTAAGGGATAGTGGAGTCTCTGGGTACAGGGCATGATAAGGGCTCGCGTAGGGTCCCATGGCTTAAATCGGGGTGCTGCGGGGTTCGAATATAAGACCTTCATAAAATCAGAACAAGGTTTTGGGGCCCCTTATACTAAAGGGAACTCCAGAAAGTTGGAATATGGATTAATGGAAGGATCCCCTATAATTTACCTTAAAGGGGTTACGATAATGATATTCCAACTTTCTGGCTTCTACTGTAAAACTAAATACAATAAGGACCCCGCAAAGTAGTATTGGCAATAGTTAAATTACCCCAAGGCCCCAAAGTAGTTCCTGTTTGGGGTTCATATACAGAATCCTATATGGGGTACTCCCGAAAAGGAACTACTTTGGGGCCTATGGGTAAGGCCCCTATCTGGTACACACGCAGGTTTCGGAGTAGGAGCACCTGCCGCACCGCTCTCACGCGACGCCGGGCGCGTCGCAGCATGAAGAGCCGGCAAAGGTGGGGCGGCTGCCAGTTCCGAGACTTCTCGCTGGAGCCGGAGAGCCTCAAGGTAAACCGGAGTTTTGGGCTCAGGGTTTAGGGTTTTAACGGGTTTTAGGGCTTAGGGTTTTTAGGGTTTAGGGGGTTTTAGAGTTTAGGGTTTTAGGGTTTTGGGTTTTGGGCTCAGGGTTTGGGGTCTACGGGGTTTAGGAGTTAGGGTTTCAAGACTCACCAAACTACAACGATGAACATTTCAAGGAGCGTAAGATCCGTCAATTTCCTATAAGCTTCTTGAGGGCGAGGGTGAGTAGTCATGCCAGTGTGACTGGATTCCCTGGACAGCGTTGATGATGAGTCCATGCCCTAGAACCCTAAACCCAAATCCCTAAACCGTATAGTTATAATCACACTCCGAGGGCAGGCGCCGCTCCCACTCTAACATTTCTGTTATAGTCATACTCCGAGGGCAGGCGCCGCTCCCACTCTAGCATTTCTGGCCATCGATTTCAGCCCTAAGGCTTTGGGGGCAAATAACCCTAAACCCTAAATCGTAAACTTGGCTCTAAACCCGAAATGAGGGTTTAGTTTTAGCCTCGGCTTTGAGCTCACACGGTATGGTGGTTCAGACGGTGAAGCTTTAGGTTTCAGGGGTTGGAATCGTACTGCGAAGGGTGATGAGTAGTACGCCAACTTACCATGAGTGCAACTGAAACTGTAAGTGCTCAACACTTGGACCTAGTAATTCTCGTTACCCGAATGAGGATGACTAGTGAACCTGCAAGAAACCCTCCCTGCGAAAATCATCATCAAACCCGTCTTAGATCGTCCCAGGTTTCTTCGATGTCATGAGAAACGAAAGCACCCTAGAAAGTGATGCGGGTAGCACTCCAAGCAACAGTAGGTGTGCAACCGTCCTTGCTCGCTGGCACGGCTCGTCCACGCCTTCGAGGGGCTGGGTTTCTGGCGGCCCGACGATAAGGTGCGCCAGCTCCCTGGCCGCGGCGTCCTCGCAGAAGCCGTGAATCAGAATTGCCCCCTCTTCTCCTGAAACGGGACCCCCGCCCCCGATGAATCGTACAACGATGCATCCTGAATTTAAATATTACATTCAGAACTCTGAACTCTATCCCTAGATCGGTACAATCCCGCCCCCCTTTAATTCCGAACCCTTTAAGCACTCAATTCTACCTAGAGTAACCAAGGCACCTCAAAAAGGTAAATGCACAAAATGTGTAAGGTCATACCCTTGGTCGAAAGACTACGCTGGTTACTCCGGGTAAACCCCCAGACCCCCGGGAGGATCTAGGAAGTAGATCCCCTATCTGGGGCTCTGTGCTTTTAAGGGTACTTTTTTGGAATCCCCATTAAGGGATCTACTTTTTGGATCCTCCCGGGGGTCTGGGCCATAAGCCGGCCTGGCAGAGCTCGTCGAAGGCTTCGAGGTCGTCTTCGCGAGAATCACGAGCAGAGCTTAGTCCCAGGGCTGCTCAAGGTCTAAACAAATTTTATATAAGACTTAAATGTGTAATGTTAGGGTTTGGGCTCTTGGGTTTTAGGCTCTAGTTCACGGCCGAAAAAATAGAACTAGGTTTCCAGGTTGCTTAAACGGATTACTTTATTTACTTGTACATGAAGATCTTGCCTGAGACAGCAGTATGGGCTTTATGCTCTCGTTTTTTGAGTGGTATATCACAATGCAAATATATCGGAACAGAATAATGTAACGCTGCTGACTTCTCAGGCCTCGATAGTTGGAGTCTTGGTTGCTTAAGTTGCGAGACAGAGACATTCGAGGAATCACGGTAACGAGATTGGGTGCAAGCGGTTGAAGTGCCATCTGCAAGGCAAGCAGGATGCGATATACCTCAATCAGAAAACCAAAGTTCCAATCCAGAAACCCATTGAAGCTCTGACATGATGTAGTGGTAGCTTGCTGTCCCCATGCACAATCTGTTCGCAGTACTATTCAACTGGAGTTGCGAGCCCCACCCTACAAACAACCTGATACCTCGGAAGTTCATCCTTCTGTATGCATCCTAAACCGGATAGCCCAAGTCAGAATCCCATGACCCGAGACCCTCGAGGTACCTGAGCAATCGGCAGCAAAGGGTTTCAGCCAAGGAACAGGCCAGCGCTTCTCAACGGGCTCGCCACAGGAGGTGTCTGAACTTGCTTCCTTGTCGTCTCATGGGCTCAAGAGTTGCTATTAGAGTGCGAGAAGGCCACGTTGCAATGTTGCATGTGCGATTCAGCCTTAACCGTGAGGGTCCATGTACCCAAATCCTACTGAATTAGGTCCAACATACTATATTCTGAATGCCTGTTGGAACCTAACATCCCATTATGCTTGAGTACTTGGACCCTTGGAGCAAACTAGGTTCAGCCTCCTGGGCGCACCATGGCGGGGGTGGAGGGGAAGCTCGACAGGGACTTTAACCCAACTGGCCAACGATAAGCCTCTGTCCTTAACTTCCAGGGCATGTCAGAGATCCGGGATTCCATGTCTCAGGGACTTCAAACGACCCGTGCAAGTGAGAATACTACGAACATTAATAGGGTGTGAGTTTCAATGTGTGTGCAATACCACGGACGCATAAAACCTGCATTCTAGGACACCTTGCTGCGTGCCATGAAACAAACACCGCACTCCCAACTTCATGGACATGTTACAAAAGACCGCGCACCCGAAACGGTAAGCACACCCATGCCATTGAAAGTCAACCAGAAAGCCATAGCTGTCATCACCGTCTACGTCATAGGTACAGGTCATCACAATCATCATCATCATCAACAGCAGCACTACGACCATCATCATTAACACCATCCGCTTAATCGGAATCGCCATCGTCATCACACCACAGCCTGTCATTCTGTCTACAAGACCATGCTCCGTTATGTTTCCATCATCATCTAACGACTCATCATGGAAGCCCTTGTAGTCATCATCAACACTCGCAGCAAAACCATGATCGTTACTTAGAGTATCATGGGACTTAGTCACTAGGGTTATACTTAAGGTAACTATACTTAAAATTACTTATATCCCCAATTAAGGTACTTATAACCATACTTACTAAGTCCCATGATCCTCCAAGTACTCTTAGCACCACCTTTATCATCATCACCCTCCTGAAGCCACGGGCCTCGCGCTCGGGCGCGGGGAAGTGACGGCCGTATCCTTTCGCCGGATTCGGGATCCACTTTCGGGTTAGGCTCGCCGGCTTTTGCTATAGTTTGGGGTTTGGGTTCCGTGTGGCCTTCTCAAAAAAACTGTAGAGCTTTGAGGGTTTGCCATGACTAAGCACACCTGCTACAACCTGTTAAGAGTACCCTCCTAGTACCCTTGCAGTAACCCTTACTCTAGTAGCAGCATCGCACCTATAGTCTCCATTGTAGTTCCTGTTTTTGATTTTGGTTCCACCAATCATACAATTATACAGTAAGGATCCTATAAGGTAACCCCAAAAAGGGACTACAATGGAGACTATAGGTAGCCTTTCTTGGAGGTTCATGGGTAGTTAAAAGTGGAGTAATAAGTTCCCTAATATGGGTTATAACTAAAGTTGCCCGACTTATAACCCCACTTATAACTACCCATGAACCTCCAAACAGGCCCTTAAACCCTATACCTTCATAGAATCCCTATAGAGCCCTTTAAAGGGACCCTTAGAGGAGCCCTTATAACTACCCATGAAGCTGCAAGTATACCGGCTGAACCCTCAGTCCGGTGTCTCAATACTCTCCTAGTTCATGGTTGGGATAGGAAAAAATTACGTTTTTATTCCTTATTAGGTTTAAGTACCCATAAGAATGTAAAATGTTACCCAACTATGACAACGTCTCGGCCTGAGATGGCGGCTGCAAAGCTTGCGACGGAAGCACCCATGTTTCGCAGGACCTGTCGGAGCACCTCAGTCGAAGGGCCGAGGGGTGTAGGGAGGAGGGTTCGATGTCTAGGGCTCGAGGATATACTTGCCCAGCAATTTAAGACTCTAACTCCTACTTGTCAGACTTCGGAGGCTGAAACTTTAAACTTTGTCAGAGCCCTAGACCTCCGCAACCGAGCCAAAGATTCAGCTAGCCTGCAGAAACACGGCAGGAAAGGGCCCCGGACTTGCCGGGCTTCTGCCGCGCAATGATGTGACAAACTCGGAAACCTTGACTTTCCCTCGCGCTCCAGTTACTTATAATAATGGGTTACTGGGTCGGTCCTGGGTTACATGTATACTGTGGTTACCCTGAGGCTCAAAATGGGCAACAAAAATCGGTAACTGGCGCCCTAGACCTTCACATCGAGGAACTCAGGTGGCTCTGGCCAACAAATCGGAGTTAGGAAATGTTAGGCATGGCACTGCAAGACGATGAATGTGCATTCTATGTATGTATTTATGTATGCATGTCTGCATGTATGTATGTATGTATGCACAGATGGGTGGATGGATGCATGGATGGATTCATGGATGGATGGACGGATGGGTGGGCGGGCCTTTCGCTGAAAGGAGAAGGTCCTTTTAACATTTCTGGGTCCTAGGTAACAAGGATAACCGGATAACCCGAGTTGCGTCCGAGGCTACCGGTTAGGGTTCAGTGTTTTTCGGGTTTGGGGTTCACGTTGAAGGGTCAGGGGATCCGAAAGCAAATGAACCAGTGCTGCCGCCAGACTCTGCATGCAGCTTCCTGTGCTGAATGACCGTCTCATTCGGCGGCGTCACGTGCCAAGCGGGTTGTGGCATCTGGGCATTCTTTTACGGCTGCTGTGAGGATTCTGCCAAACATTCTTCAGAAGGTTCCTTTCAGGTTTCATGCCCACATTGGTGTTTAATTGGGCCATGTTGGTGTTCGATGGGGCAGGACTCTCCAACACAAAACCATGATCCCTAAACCCAAGCCAGGGTCAGTGACAGCTGAACAGCCGGACACCCCACGCCCGACCTCACTACAAAAACAGCTGAGCTCTTAGGTTTGTTTTCGGGTCGTTCTCTTGTGTGCAACCTCTATGTCAAGAACAGCAGAGTTCCGGAGCGATCCGACAACACCTTGCCAAACTCGAAGTAGAACCTGAGGAATCTGCTCCCCACTTGGTTTAGGGGTTTCGAAGGTAGGCCTCTCGCTGATTTCAGAGCTTCCTAAACATGATAAATGCTAACCCCCCGAACGTCATTGAGTTGTAGACCTGGGTGGCCATTTCACTTCCGCGCTGCTAACTTCAATCATCCGGTGTGTTACTCATTGCGGAGAATGAGACGTGGCACGTGTAAAACTCCAACAGGTTCAGACTGTGCATGAGCTTGCAGTGTCAAAGGGATTTCGAGGTTGGCTTCTCAAATAGGAACCCTGAAACCCAAAGGGCCCAAGTATCATTATGGTATATACTTAGACCCCCAACATGCCCTGCAAGTATACACCATAATGATACTTGGACCCTTTGGGAAAGGGATCGACAGGCAAAGGGGCTTCCTTCCTTCACTCCCTGTGCAGAGCCTGCGAGACAAACATGGCTCACAGGTTGTACATCCGCATCTGCTAGACCTACCCCCGCCCCAGGGCCTACTTCGACGAACGCCAAAACCTGAACCCTAAACCCTACACCCTGAACCCTGAACCCTAAACCCTGCACCGGAAGTGCAGACTGAGGCTAGCACATAGGAGCACTTGGCGATGCGGCGAACCAGAGTGGGCCTGACAGTTGAGCGCTTAGGCCATGATGGGGGCTTCCGAAAAGAGGGGACCCTAATATGGTACCCTGAATACTAGGGTCCTTATCATAAAGACCCCGAAATAAGGGACCCCTAATTTCCGAAACTCCCATGTTGAGTTAGTTGCTCTGGGCTGAGGGTTGGCAGCGAGAGGACACCCCAGACTCTGGACACTCGATAGAAATTCTGTGCTTTTGGATGACCTGTTCTATCTAAACCCCTAAACCCGAAACCTCAAAGCCCTAAATTCTAAACTCACAAACCCTGAATATGGTTGTTACCACATTGAAACGCTTACTCGACTAGGCATTGAGACGGTCGGCTAGTGCTCTCGAGCGGCCACGTATACGGTATCAGAACCCGTGGATTGAGTTTTATCATCTATTATGCGGTACTATGCTATTGCATGCTATACTCTACGCTACCTATTCTACTAAACTAGACCAGAAAAACGAGCCTCGGCAGCACCTCCCCAAGCCAAAGTTTAGGGTCTCCGCCGTGACATGTTTCGTTGCAGGACTCAGGGCATCAAGGTCTCTCACGGAGTCACGGTCTGTAGTCGTATGTCGTAAGAGTCTTGAAGATTAACATTTCTGAGGGTGCAGGCGAAGGCAGGCCAAAGAACTGATGCGGCGTGAGTACGTAGAGTCAGGCGTTGCAGTACATGCTATATACATACAGTTGCTTCCAGAACACCAACGTTTCGATATTCTGATTTCTTGCCCAGGGTTACAGCAAGTCTCCAATTTATCAATATATCGGACGGTGATCGGCAGTGTCACGATCTGGGGACGGCTTGGCGGTGTGGGAACGAACGCCATTTTCGCCAACTCGCAGACTTAGGAGGGGTTGAATAATACTGAAGGCCTAGCAGCCTAGGGCCTAGATGCGCAAGACTGCACGCAGCTCCAAAGTAATGTACATGCATTCAGGATCTCGGATTTAGGGTTCGGGATCCAAGCACAACTCACACACCCTAGTCCCGTTTAGTGTTCTAAACTAAACTGTACTATATAGTATACTGTACTAAACTAACCTATACTATTACTTGGACCCGCTGGGACATAGGCCCAAAGAAGTCTTCCCACGAAGCTCTTCACAGCCACCCAGCGCTCAAAGTTGCCGAGAGGTGCTTTCGAGGGATGGTAGAGTTTAGGAGTTTAGGGTTCCGGGGTTTAGGGTTTACAAGTTTAGGGGGTTTAGGGTTTAGGAGTTTAGGGGTCTGGGGGTTTAGGGTTTAGGAGTTTAGGGGTTTAGGGTGTTCATAGGACCTGTAAGTGCATTCGCTTCTTTATCTGGTCTCCGATAGCCCTCCAGAATCAGTGTACCCAGGTAAACCCTAGAACCCGAACCCTAAACCCTAAAGCATAAACTATAAACAGCAAACCTTCTAACCCCTGAGCCCAAACCGTGAACCCTCAAAACATGCAGGCATTCATGTGCACATGTCAAGGGCCTGGGCAAGAGCGGCTTCGTGGGCATCACTTCCGTCGCCTGATCCCAAGCCTGAGGTCAGAAGAGATGTAGCTGTAGGGTCATCGTGTTTTATGATTTAAGGTGTGGAGTTTAGGGTGTGGGGCCAGTGCTGGGTTCAAGGCTTAAGGTTTTGGGCTGAAGCCAGTGACACTAAAACGAAAACTGCACAATCCCACTTCACGTTCCGCCCTAATCCATAGCCGCTTCAGAGCCGATAGACTAAACTGTGTACTCTACAGCTTCGGGACTCGAGCTTTGCAGCTTCCCTTTTGGCCCTTTGGGGTTGCTTCAAGTCGTACAGACCCGTAAGCGCTAAGCCCTAAACCTGAACGATAAGCCCGAAACCCGAAACCTAAACCCCAACCCTAAATCCTAAACTCTAAGCATAGCATTGAAAAAGGAAACCTTGATTACTATAGACCCGAAACCTAAATCTTGACTCTTTGCTTCCTTTCCGGCCTATGAGAAGCCTTGGTGACTGGCGCGTCTGGGCTTCGACAGCCGACCCTTCTTATCGGGGACTACTCTAGGGGCCTTACCACTTACCAGGTAGAGAAGGGCTCCTTCAAACGGTTACGATGAAGGAGGCTTGTGGCGCAGACTCTGCTATAATCACAACAAGAAACCGTGCGGCAGCCTCGCTATTGCCACAAGGTGCGGCTGCACTTCAACTACAAAAGCCAACAACGAACTAACCGTACCTAACCTTCTTCACGACATGAGCTCTTCAACATCAGCCACGAACATCATCAAAGGCAGCGGGTTGCGATGATGCAAAGATCATGAACCCCTGCTTTTCTACTTCAAGTAAATCCTGACAGCTATCTACGTACCAACTTATCCGCATCACCCTCATTCGGCAACAGCAGTGCTTACCCAGATAAGTTCAACGTCGTTATCATCGCGATCGCCATCACCGACGTCATCGTCGTCATCATCAGCATCAATATCGTCGTCACTCCCAGCAGCAGCAGCAGCAGCGGTGGCGGCGGCAGCAGCGGCGGCGCTTGTCACCTTCCTCCTCGTCATCCCGTGGCTGCTCGAGTTGTATGTAATCATGCTGGCCGGCAGTTGCTGCAGTTGCTGTGTGTGTGTGTGTGTGTTGCCTGTGCAACATCTGTCAGAGGTGCCTTAAACTGGGGTTTTCAAGTAAACCAGGGAGAAAAAGTATAAACTTGCATTTCATAATGGTTCCTTTCAGAAAAAGCCCGGTATAAAACTTAAGACATATGGAATACAAGCAGCAGACTTCCAACTACTTCTGTCTCCGCCAACGCGCCCCTATCCAGAAAACCTTAAAGACTCGAGCTCATACAAGAAGACCCTGCAACAAGCCCTACCTAGAGGGTCATACCCTACCCCTCTTCTAGGATACCTAGTTTTATGGCTAGGACCTGTTGTATAGAAAATTAGGTACCTTAAACAAGGGGCAGGGTATGAGCCTCTAGGTAAATCCAAACAAGTCTTGAACCCTGCACTCTTGAACCCTGAGGCTCGGGCCATGAATTCAGTCTCGGCAGGGAAAAGCATTTCTTACTGCTGGAGAGCCAAATTAGGACTGCGGACATGCGGTACCGGATTAGAGCTTATAAGGATTAGGGTTTAGGGGCAACAGCGGGAAACAGGATCAACAACCGTAAAATTTGAGGCGTGACCCCAACTAGAGTCTCTGCGATCAGAGGTCGCGTAGTCCGTGAACATACATACGCAAACATGCACATACACGTGCGTACAGACATGAATGCAGGACAACCTCGTAAATGCACACATGTCAAAGGTGAACTGCGAATCTCACTCTTAGCCCTGCAATAAGACCTCAACCCAAGCCAACACGAGACCCTGTAACAACATATCAAGTTTCGGTTGACATCCCGCCCTTTTTCCACTTCTTTGGCGGCACTATGCTGGAGCTTCCACTGGGCAGCAAACACTTGTGGCCCAGAGACACGGTCCTGGAGACACGAAGAGGAGCAATTTGGACGGTTAACTAATAGTTCCTGCTGTTTTGGGGGGGCTTCAGTTCTCTCAAAACAGCCGTGGAAGTCATCAAGGGATCTTGAACAAACGAAATGAGATCTCAGCAAAGAGCTGCTCAGTGCTTCGATTCTTGAGGGTGTGGATTATGGTCTGCACCGAACGACAGAAATATGCTCCAGCATGGCTAGAGTGACATGATCCTACACCGCGGTCCTTGGGCGAGACGTTTCGCCTGCAACAAGACAGCAACTATGTCTGACTTAAGTTAGTATCGTTCAGTCTGGCATGTTGAACCTGCACCGAAACAAACATGCCAACCCGAAACGCATGGATGTTAAAGTCCTTGAAGATCATTCGGTCAATACACTTCCCGTTCATTGAAGGCTCTCATGTTTGGTAGGGCTTAGGCTTTAGGGTCTATGATTTAGGGTTTATGGATCAGGTGGAGCCGAATACTATGCAGCAGTTGCATCCCTTTCGAGCCGAATGTGTCATCCTGGTTGGCCCACAGCTCCGCTGCACGGTGCTTGTTCCGACCCATCTTCCCACTACGGTAACGGCTGCATGCTCACGCCATGTTGCTAAGCACTTGCGAGAGCAGAGCCCGAGACTCTCGAAACTGCTGCCTTCTTGCATCCAAACTCCCATACTCGCATTGCATAAGTATAAGGGCATATAAAAAAGGGAAAGGACTTTGGGACCTTCTTCACAGTAGTTTCTTTGGGAATGCTGGGAATTTCCAGTCGCACTAGCAGCTCAGGCCGTGTATTGCAGAACATTCTTCCACTGCGTGTGCTTGGTTTCTGCTCTCGAATTCTTGATTTTCATTTTGCCTCGCACACTGTGAAAACACTGCAGGAAGCAACATGCAAGCTGGGACCCTAAACTTTGAGCCCTTTTACTGTAACACCTTAAGGTAAAAGCCAGAAAGTTGGAATATGATTATCCTAACCCTTCTATGGTAAATTATAGGGTATCCTACCATGAAACCATATTCCAACTTTCTGGAGTTTCCTATAAACCCCTGCTATGCTAGGCAAGCCAAGCCGCATCTCTTCGCGGAGGGTGTCCAGCGGCGGCAATGGTCCTGCTTACCCCGGTGCCCTGCAACCTCCAAACCAAAACCGCAAAAATCTTAGCTTCCTGGGCCGGTCTTAACGACATCCGAAGGCGGCTTGCGGGATGATTGCCAGAATGGGATTGGGTCGGCACAATTTCCCGTGCCTGCATACAAAACCCCTTGCATCGTAAAGTAACGTTTACGGCTACACCATACGAGAGGAATCACTTACTAGTTGCGGCTGCTACTCGTAATCTCACTTTCAGTATTGCTGTTGCTGTTACTGTCGCAACATCTCTTGTCTCTGTCTTCTGGTTGCATTTTGTTCGCCCGTTTCTCAAAAGAACTGCACTTTTTTTCTGTTGCACCGGTGGAAGCTGGAACGGATCGTACAAGAGCGGCGGAATTTCCAAGAAGGTATCTCCAACAGATCTGAACAGGACTTCTTGAGCTGTGTAAAGTTATGATATCGAGAAGCGTGGGTGACGGTTCGGAATTTGCGCACCGTGCTTAACTCCACAACTCCCTCATGCACGACGTGGGCTCACCTGGCTCTCGCCAGATTTTTTTTTGCTCTTTTAGCAGGAAGTGGGAATCCTGGAACGGATCGTAAGAGCGGCGGAATTTCCAGAAAGGTATCTCCAACAGATCTGAACAGGACTTCTTGAGCTGTGTAAAGTTATGATATCGAGAGGCGTGGGTGACGGTTCGGAATTTGCGCACCGTGCTTAACTCCACAACTGCCTCATGCACGACATGGGCTCGCTCACCTGGCTCTCGCCAGATTTTTTTTGCTCTTTTAGCAGGAAGTAGAAATCCTAATTGCAACATCTCTTGTCTCTGTCTTCTGGTTGCATTTTGTTCGCCCGTTTCACAAAAGAACTGCACTTTTTGCTGGTGCACCGGTGGAAGCTGGAACGGATCGTACAAGAGCGGCGGAATTTCCAGGAAGGTATCTCCAACAGATCTGAATAGGACTTCTTGAGCTGTGCAAAACTATGGTGTCGAGAGGTATGGGTGACGGTTCGGAATTTGTGCACCGTGCTTAACTCCACAACTGCCTCATGCACGACGTGGGCTCACCTGGCTTGCCAGATTTTTTTTGCTCTTTTAGCAGGAATTAGGAATCCTAATCTGTCTTGTGGTTGCATTTTGTCAGCCCGTTTCTCAAAAGAACTGCACTTTTGCTGTTGCACCGGTGGAAGCTGGAACGGATCGTACAAGAGCGGCGGCAGAAGGGGGCAACGGTCTGTCAGGCAAAGGTTGACCCTTCGACGAAGTTCGTTTTTTCAAAAACCCTTCGGCGAACTTCTGCGAACGTTTTGGGGGTTCGTGAGGGGTTCGTGGGTTGTTCGGTTACAAGATAAAGTTCTGATATGTTGTTAAAATTCCCAAGTATATTAAAAGCTTCAATAAGAATTTACGACACTACACCCCGGATAGTCTGTGAAGTTTATATGTCAGCGAGATGAAATGATGATGATTTGCCACGCCTTTTTCTCTGCATCTTGCAGGGATTTCCTGCGAATGTCTTTCCAAAAATACGGAGTTTCTTGCGTTACTCTGGCTCATTAGCAAAAATTCTTGCCAGGGCCCGACAGTCGTTCAGTGCAGGTCCAGGAAGTGCAGAATCCTGGCGGGCGGGAGTGTAAAATCACAAATGAGGTGCGTCAAAAGGCTTGTTGCTCTGGCAACCCGTTTTCTCTCTTGCGACTTCTGCGGCCAGTGACTAAGGCAGCGTTTTATCGCAAACGGCCCGGCAAGGCGGTTGATCGCCAAAACTTGCCAGGTTCAGCGGCCGAGGACTCGATTAAAATTTCTTGCCTTCAGCAACAGCGGCAGCGGAAATCGGCAGAGTCAGGCCGGGGCGCTCTTGAAATACTTCCCTGCTCTCTGACCTACAGTCTCGGAAGACTCAGAAGCAGGGGTAACCCGAGAACACAAAAGCATGTGACACCAACTTTCAGCGATGCATTTTTTATGTTAAAAATAATAATGCTTCTTCTGTGTTCTTGCCCCTGAAACAATCTCAGTCAAGTTTACTTTGGCGATCCTCGCCCTCCTGATGCTGGCGACTTGATCGAGCTGACGGGCGATCCGGCGAGGGTCTTCGGACTCTTGCTAGGCGACGACTTGGAATTGATCTTGCGCTTCGGCGTCCGCGGGGGAGTGTTCTTGCCGTTCCCAGCTGCCGGTTGAAGCGCAGTCTCCGATTTCGCCTGCCACGATTTCGTCTTCTTGCCATCACCAGAACCGGCTTCGGGGGAGGAACCCGTCGGGCACTCCTTCAGAAAGAACGGGCTCTCGGGCAAGGTCTTGCCCTCGTTGATGTCGGAATTCAGGATCTTGCACACCGAGATGTCCACCAACCCAGCACCTGACGGAATTGCTATGCAACGAACAATTGAGTTGGAAGAAGTGGTTTCAACATGTTCTGAATAGACGAGAGAACTAGAGAAGCGCGTGCTTAGATAACTTGATCTGAAAGATTCGCACATTGCAGCTGAGAAACTCAAGGATGTGTTGAAGTTTCTTGCGCACATGACCTTGATGTTGTCGATGTTCTGCATCTCCGGCGGAAGCTTAAACATCAAGTCGGTCTGCATGTACCGCAACTGACTCTTGCCGTCGTCCTGCTTCTCCAGCCTCCAGTAGCTGCAGGAGGGATCGTCACAGAACTCCTTGAGAACGCGGACTCTTGGGCTTGGGTGAATTTAAGGCCAACCGATCCGACAAACAAGGCAACGGTTAAACCGAATTCATTCAACTTGAATTTTCACTGACTTGGACTCACGACCCCAGCCGCATGATGGGCCTAAGAGGCTGAGCAATGAACAGGCGGCGGAAAATCACGATGTTGCCGCAGGATGCCTTACTTAGGCGGGTTAAACGAGTAGGTCCTGGAAGGTCGTCTCTGGCCCCCGTGGCTCCCAGGTTTCTAGCCGGCTGCCGTAGTCTGTGAAGCGCTTCATCATGAAGTCCTCAAGCGCGACCATGCTCTTGCTCGGCAACGCGCTGTTGACGTCGCAGTGAGTGATGAACCTACGGCGAGTGAGGTGTTTTGCACTTGTCTTGCTTCGGCAGAGGCAAAGAAGATTTGAATGAAAGATTGTTTTACATGTACTACTGATTCACAGCCAAGCTACGCGAGCAGGGTCGCCAGGAAAGCACGCTCTATCTTGCACCTGAAGTTCTTCTGCTGTTTGTCCAAGAACGACATCACTTTGGGAATCATCTTGCAAAGCAGCGGTCGCGTTTGCTCTTGCCCAAGCAATCGGAACTTGTTCATGTAGGGCTTCAGCTTCTGCTCCGACGAGTCGTCGTCGCCCACGATCTTGCCGGAGTCCAGCGAATCAAAGCTTCCCATACCTTTATGCCACGTGCGCTCTAAAGACAATGAATCACAGTCAGTCATTTCACTCAAGTTCAACTGAATTTAAAGAACCTAGCTCGCTAAAGCTTCACAGTACTATTTTTCTTTCCCAAACATACCCAAAAAAACGAAAAACTAAAATTCTCAGCGACTGAAGCCCCGATGGATGTGTTCCAGTGCTTTCGGCCGTAGGGCAAACCACGCATCGAGCTCCTGCCTCATCGTGATCAGTCTGTTCTCTTGCGCTTCAAGATTCGCTTTCTGCTCTTTGCGCAAGGCTTCCTCCGCCTTGTCCTCAGTTCACGAATATTCGGACATGTGATTAGCTTGATTGATGGGATCATATGTTTAAAGTTAAGGGGGGTCGGAAGGTTGAAGTGTAGACGCCTTGCTTGCAGACAAAACACTTTCAGCTTCTTCTCCTTCGAAAGCGCCTTCTCTTGCACTGCCTTGGTTTTTGACTGGATGCAGCTCTTCTTCGGGGCCATGGCTGCGCAAGCTCGGCCAGCAGCAAACAAAATTATCCAAGACTGAGATGCTTCTCTTACTTGCTATCGAGCCGGACATGTCACCGGCAGTGATGACGGCTGGGCCGGTGCAATTTCTCATCTCTCACAACCTCATCGCAAACAAACAGGCTTCCCTGCAGTGTCGTTTCTGAATCTGGCCGAAACAATCCAACAGGAGGCGGGCAGACCTTGCAAGCGACGTAGGTCTCTTGCAGGATAGACCGGTGGAACCGGCACCTGTTAGTGTCTGACTGTGTCTGATTGGATTGGTTTGGCTTACTATACATCAGAATGTGGAAACCAAGGACAATCGCAAAAGCTGCGAGCATCGATCCAGCGCAGGTGAGTTAATCATTTCAACTATTGACTTGAATAAGCATCCGCACACCGTCTCTATGCTCGCAGATGCGTACAGGCGCAAGCGTGCATGTATGTTTACGTTTGCGTATGTGGGTGGGCGCTACTATACAACTTAATAGTTTATTAATAAATTGTGCGTGCATGCGGTTGTGACCGGTCGCACTCTGGGTTCGCGGCAGGAGGACTCTGGCCAGACCAGTGTAATCAGCAGGGCAGGAAACTCTCGCAGGAGTCTCCGCCTGCAAGCGTGGTGATATGCAAGACCCGGAAGCTTACTGTATTAAAAATTGTTATTATGAAATATGCATTCATTCGTTACTTCAAGACAGTCAGGAGTAGTAGTCGTCGTCGTAGTAGTAGCACTAGTTATTAAGTACTAGTAGTAATAATAATCGTCGTTTACTAGCTAGTTTAGGGTTTGCTTTTGTGCTGAATCTGGGCAGAGGAACTTACGGAAGGTCTGGCTACGAGGGTGCCACTCCTTTACTTCCAAAGACTCAGATTTGCAGATTTGAGCAAAGAAGGAGAATCTTAACTGAGTCTTACTGGCCTTGTTTCGGTTGCAACTTTCGAGTAAATTACATTTATTACATTATGCCTGCAATTATTGCTTGGATGCATCTTGCGGATCTTATGGGTCTTGCGAGTGGGCGACTTAGGGGGGAGTGCCCATACCCTAAACCCTAAACCCTAAACCGGAATTATTATTAAATTACTGAAACAGAGCTTCAAGATCAGTCCCAAAGACCCCGAAACCAAACTTGAAAGCCCGGGAAAGAAGCCCA